CATAAAAAATTAATGTGTCTGAATTATCAAAAATAAACAAGTGTCACAATCATTTTGCAATGTTTAAGCAATCAAACATGCCGGTGGATCAAATTCACAATCATGACATAAATGAAAACTTAAACTGTTGTGATTTTGCATTAACAAAATCATTTTTTAAAATCATCCCTTATCTATCAATTTACTCCTATTCACGGTCAAGCATGGTAATTTTCTCAATAAAAACCATTAGGAAAAAATTGAATTCCTACAATTATAACCATGTATATACTGATTTAAAACACCGAACAGGACATTAAAATTCAAATGGTTAATTGTAAGAGGAAATTTATGGTTTAGGTACTTGGAGGGTAAAATTATGAAATTTGAAGAAATTTTATTTATTTCATATGAAACAAAGTTATTAATCATTGGTTTATATGATTTAAGACTGAAAGGGAAAAACATGAACAACTTTATATGTTCCCATACAAGTACTTCCTTAGATTTTCACATGAATATCACTTGTTTACAGATTTTAAACTTCCTCTTAACATATTTTTGCAAAAAAGGGGAATTTCAGTTTTAAAATGTAAATAATTTAGCAAAGCTTTACAAATTATAGACTAAGCTACATACATGTAGTTAAATCTGAGTATGCCTTAATTTCATCTTAACATTGCTGAACATGTATCATGGTACCTAACATTTTTTATGTGGCAGTCAGTAAATGATTAAAAAGACACCTGGGTAGAAGAAAGTATAGATTAGATTTCTCACTAGTAAATGTGCCCTTTGTTCCATACTTTATACAGCTTATCTTCTATTAGTAATTGTCTATAAAGACAGGTTTTAACAAGATATGTTTGTAAAACATGTATGCCCCCTATCAGCAGCCAGTTAGTCATGTGATAAGGTTATTATGCATGACTTCTGACCCAGTGATCAAACAATTAACAAGGGTTATCAAGTATCTACTGGTCATGACCTTAACCTTTGACCCCTTGACCCAAAACTCAATAGGGGTCATCTGCTGGTCACAACCAATCATCATACAAAGTTTGAACTTCCTAGGCCTAAGCGTTTTTAGTTAATTGATCGGGAACCGTTTTAACATACAAGGTAAATGTGACCTTGACCTTTGACCCCTTGACCCCAAAATCAATAGGTCATCTGCTTGTCATGACCAATCACCATACCATGTTTGAAGTTCCTAGGCCAAAGGGTTCTTAAGTTATTGATTTGAAAGCATTTTTACCTACAAGGTCAATGTGACCTTGCCCTTTGACCCCTTAACCCCAATATCAATAGGGGTCATCTACTGGTCATGACCAATCACCATACCAAGTTTGAAGTTCCTAGGCCTAAGAATTCTTTAGTTATTGATCTGAAACCGTTTTTACCTAAGAGGTAAATGTGACCTTTGACCCCTTGACCCCAAAATCAATAGGGGTCATCTACTGATCATGACCAATCACCATATCAAGTTTGAAGTCCCTAGGCCTTAAGGTTCTTTCGTTATTGATCGGAAACCGTTTTTACCTACAAAGTCAATGTGACCTTGACCTTTGACCCCTTAACCCCAAAATCAATAGGGGTCATCTGCTGGTCATGACCAATCACGATACCAAGTTTGAAGTTCCTAGGCCTAAGGGTTCTTTCGTTATTGATCGGAAATCGTTTTTACCTACAAGGTCAATGTGACCTTGACCTTTGACCCCTTGACCCCAAAATCAATAGGGGTCATCTGCTGATCATGACCAATCACCACACCAAGTTTGAAGTTCCTAGGCCTAAGGGTTCTTTTGTTATTGATCAGAAACCGTTTTTTCTCAAGAGGTCAATGTGACCTTGAGCTTTGACCCCTTGACCCAAAAATCAATAGGGGTCATCTACTGATCATGACCAATCACCATACCAAGTTTGAAGTTCCTAGGCCTTAAAGTTCTTTAGTTATTGATCAGAAACCGTTATTGCTTACAAGGTCAATGTGACATTGACCTTTGACCCCTTGACCCCAAAATCAATAGGGGTCATCTACTGATCATGACCAACCACCATACCAAGTTTGAAGTTCCTAGGCCTTAAAGTTCTTAAGTTATTGATTGGAAACCGTTTTTGCTTACAAGGTCAATGTGACCTTGACCTTTGACCCCTTGACCCCAAAATCAATAGGGATCATCTACTGGTCATGACCAATCACCATACCAAGTTTGAAGTTCCTAGGCCTTAAGGTTCTTTAGTTATTGATCGGAAACCGTTTTTGCTTACAAGGTCAATGTGACCTTGACCTTTGACCCCTTGACCCCAAAATCAATAGGGGTCATCTACTGGTCATGACCAATCACCATACCAAGTTTAAAGTTCCTAGGCCTAAGGGTTCTTTTGTTATTGATCAGAAACTGTTTTTACCCAAGAGGTCAATGTGACCTTGACCTTTGACCCCTTGACCCCAAAATCAATAGGGGTCATCTACTGATCATGGCCAATCACCATACCAAGTTTGAAGTTCCTAGGCCTAAGGGTTCCTTTGTTATTGATCAGAAACCGTTTTTTCTCAAGAGGTCAATGTGACATTGACCTTTGACCCCTTGACCCCAAAATCAATAGGGATCATCTACTGGTCATGACCAATCACCATACCAAGTTTGAAGTTCCTAGGCCTTAAGGTTCTTTAGTAATTGATCGGAAACCGTTTTTGCTTACAAGGTCCATGTGACCTTGACCTTTGACCCTTTGACCCCAAAATCAATAGGTGTCATCTACTGGTCATGACCAATCACCATACCAAGTTTGAAGTTCCTAGCCCTTAAGGTTCTTTAGTTATTGATCGGAAACCGTTTTTGCTTACAAGGTCAATGTGACCATGACCTTTGACCCCTTGACCCCAAAATCAATAGGGGTCATCTACTGGTCATGACCAATCACCATACCAAGTTTAAAGTTCCTAGGCCTAAGGGTTCTTTTGTTATTGATCAGAAACTGTTTTTACCCAAGAAGTCAATATGACCTTGACCTTTGACCCCTTGACCCCAAAATCAATAGGGGTCATCTACTGATCATGACCAATCACCATACCAAGTTTGAAGTTCCTAGGCCTTAAAGTTCTTTAGTTATTGATCAGAAACCGTTATTGCTTACAAGGTCAATGTGACCTTGACCTTTGACCCCTTGACCCCAAAATCAATAGGGGTCATCTACTGATCATGGCCAATCACCATACCAAGTTTGAAGTTCCTAGGCCTTAAAGTTCTTTAGTTATTGATCGGAAACCGTTTTTGCTTACAAGGTCAATGTGACCTTGACCTTTGACCCCAAAATCAATAGGGATCATCTACTGGTCATGACCAATCACCATACCAAGTTTGAAGTTCCTAGGCCTTAAGGTTCTTTAGTTATTGATCGGAAACCGTTTTTGCTTACAAGGTCAATGTGACCTTGACCTTTGACCCCAAAATCAATAGGGGTCATCTACTGGTCATGACCAATCACCATACCAAGTTTGAAGTTCCTGGGCCTTAAGGTTCTTTAGTTATTGATCGGAAACCGTTTTTGCTTACAAGGTCAATGTGACCTTGACCTTTGACCCTTTGACCCCAAAATCAATAGGTGTCATCTACTGGTCATGACCAATCACCATACCAAGTTTGAAGTTCCTGGGCCTTAAGGTTCTTTAGTTATTGATCGGAAACCGTTTTTGCTTACAAGGTCAATGTGACCTTGACCTTTGACCCCAAAATCAATAGGGGTCATCTACTGGTCATGACCAATCACCATACCAAGTTTGAAGTTCCTGGGCCTTAAGGTTCTTTAGTTATTGATCGGAAACCGTTTTTGCTTACAAGGTCAATGTGACCTTGACCTTTGACCCCTTGACCCCAAAATCAATAGGGGTCATCTACTGGTCATGACCAATCACCATACCAAGTTTGAAGTTCCTAGGCCTAAGGGTTCTTTAGTTATCACTTGGAAACCATTTGGTCTACGGACCGACGGACCGACAAGTGCAAAGCAATATACCCCCTTTTCTTCGAAATGGGGGCATAATAAGATACTTAAGTTATTATAATTATTTTTTTCATTAACAAGTTAAAAAACAACACAAAAGTTTATTCTATTTATTTCATTATTATAGCCACATTTGTCTTATAATCACAAGACAATACAAATTATGAACCAAATTATACATGTCTCTTCTAACTATACTGACCAATAGGAGGAAATATAACTAGCACCCTTGGAATTTAAAAAAGTGTTTCTTAGAAAATTGAAGGTAGATTTAAAAAGTAAATAACCTAATGTGAATGAATTTCTAAGCTGGAAAAAACTTTAAATAAAAACATTATCTAATGCCCTTAGATTTTAATCTTAAAAAATCATAGGTTATCACTTCACAAATGGCAGGAAAACAAAAGCAAAACCTACCAACAATTATCAACCTATTGGCCTCGTAAATGCATCCTTTAATGGAAGTTACTTTGTATGAAGAATAAAACACTGATATGTTTAACAGCGCAGAGAATATTAATTAAAACAAAATCATTGGATATAATATTCAAAACAAATACATTTGGCAGTATATCTATAATTATTACGATTTAAACAACAAGTACATGTATATTGCCTTGGCAGGCAATGTAATTTAATAAATTATTAAAAATTCATAAGGATTTGTTGACTTAATAAATTAAAGTAAAACAATGTCATCATTATTCTGCTTCTGATATTTCAGCAAATTTTGCCACTTTCTGTTCTTAACATCTTATTACAGAGCTACAGATTGACAATGTTTGTAGTTTTTTCAACCTTTTCTTTTTTCTTAATAATGTTTTAAATGATATGAACAGAGTGAAAGTCATATAGTAATGTTTCAGCTTTGCTAGTATAAGACCTTATGTGTCACACCTTTTATCATTTCAGCCATACAACAGACATATGACTAGAACCATCAATGGACCTTTATCTTACAAACATTATAGCTTCTAAAGTCTTTAGTGGGATTGGAAACTACAGCTCCATTGACCTAATATATGTTAAAAAATTCTTATGAATCACTTAAGTTGGAACAAAAAGAAGCAAATCTTACTAAATTTCATAAATTTATAATCAATATACTACCTAAATCTATTACTATCAAGTTCATTAAATACTAAATTGAAACAATTCTCCTAATAAAAACATCCGTAACTTATTCCTGTTTCTTCTTGCTTGCATAATAAATCATTTGACCTACTAAAATGGCATTGCATGTTGCTGCACACATATATGTTATAACTACGAGCTGGTCCCCTGTTTCTTGTATTGATGTGAAAATTCTAATTACTGATCCCCCGAATATAAGACCAACTGTAATTGCTGATAGCTGCCCTGTACTTCCATTTCTGTAATTGGCTAGAGCCTGCAGAAGCTGTGGAATAAATATAATATACCTTTTAAATCAAATTAACTGGAAAATAACAAGAGCTGTCAATAGGACAGCCTGCTTGACCATTCAGTGCTTGATAGTTAAGCAAGAGCCTGGAGCACTGGATAATGTAGAAATTCATAAATTCAAAAAAAGTCTATAATTCTGTCAAAGTACATGTATGAGTTATAGGCCTTGGGCAATAGCCTTTTTTAAAATTGTGACCCATTCCCTTCAGTAGTTTTACAGATATCAACCAGCATGCAAACACTTATCCAAAGTATTAGGTTGACACATGGGTGAGTACAATTATAGTTCTCCTTATTCTTTGAATAGTCAAGCTAAAAGCATGAATTACAAGTATACTACTTTATTAATATAAGTTGTATGTCCAAGCATAAAAACAATTCATTAAACAAGAGGGCCAAGAGGGCCCTAGATCACTCACCTGACCCATCAAACTCATCCAAACAATTACTTAGACAAGCATCCTGACCAAGTTTGATGACAAATGAGTCAAAAATGTGACCTCTAAAGTGTTTACAAGGTTTTTCAATATTTGGGCAGTGTGACCTAGTTTTTGATTCCAGGTGACCCATATTCAATCTTGACCTAGAAATCATCAAAACAAATTTCCTGACCAATGTCCAGAATATTTGGATCAATACTGCAGCTACTAGAGTGTTAACAAGATTTTTCTATTTTTAGCTCCTGTGATTTAGTTTTTGACGGAGATGACCCATATTCGAACTTGACCAAGAAATCATCAAAACAACCTTTCTGACCAATTTCCAGAATATTTAAATTAAACTGCAGCCACTTGAGTGTTAAAAAGATTTTTCTATTTTTAGCTCCTGTGACCTAGTTTTTGCCCGGAGATGACCCATATTCAAACTTGACCAAGAAATCATCAAAGCAACCTTCCTGACCATCTAGTTTTTGACTGCAGATGACCCATATTTGAACTTCACCCAGAAATCATCAAAGCAACTTTCCTGACCAATTTAAGATTTTTCTACTTTCAGCTCCTGTGGCCTAGTTTTTAACCGGAGATGACCCATATTCGGACTTGACCTGTATTTTATTTTGACAAACATTCTGACAAAGTTTGATGACAATCCAATCAAAACTGTGACTGCTAGAGTGTTAACAACCCATTTTTTGACAATGAACAACAACATACGCCCAACAGAGCCCCATCACTTTACCTCACCTTCACCACTTCATGGTCAGGTGAGCTGAAAAAACTAGAACATACATTCCCATTTTAATTAATACAACAAGATTTGTTTTTGTTATTTTTGCGTCATTACAAATTTTCAGGGCTTGCATCTTGTTATGTTCAATCAATACAATAGGCTACCTATGTCAAAGACTGCTATCTTTACTTAGCTATAACATTGACACAAATAAATGAGTGCAATATGGTTGAAGGTACAAAAGTATTTCAGATGACATTATAATTTTTGTGAATTTGAGACATTACTTTCAGAGTATCTCCTCATCCTTAATTCCTTAAATGGGATTCTAATCATCTAAAAGAGCATTTCTGTGTGAAATTATGATGCATACCTTACCAGCCATGACTACGGCAATGTTCACTGTTTGTATAGCTGCTAATAGGGACATGGAAACCATTGGAGAAAGTAGGTATGCCATAATTCCTCCATATATTCCTACAAACAGGAATGCACCCAGTATATTTCCACCAAAGAATAGGACAAAAAACAGGACAGCAGTGGTTTGTAGACCCAAAAATATACCTTCTCCATATGAACTGCAAGATAAAACAAGATTTCTATGTATGAACTAGTTAACTGTTGATATTCAATTATAAGCATTATCACTCTTTTGCTTTTTAAAGTACAATGTGGTTATAATTATGACAATTTAGTTTATACAAATCTATTTAAGTTTGATTGTGTTGGAAGCTATAAGGTTATTGAAACACTCATGAACCCGTTCCTGGAACCGACCAGTACTAAGCAATGAATGGAAAGTTTCTTTCTCAAGGAAACAACAGCATGCCCCTGACAGGGTTTGAATCCATGCGGTCAGCAATCCTTAAATTTCTAGTCCGACACGTTAACCATTCTCCCACGCCCCCACACAATTTTGACAAGTTAAGCAAATTTCAATAATTAGACATTAATGGTCAAGGTCAAATAAAGACGAGATATTTGAATTATTCAATATATCAGTTTCGTCATAATTACCATATTTATTTTATACAACCATTTTGGAAGTATAGTTTTTAAAATTCAAACAATAATTTTTGCATCAGATACACTTTAAATCACAAAGAGCTAACAAATTTAAAATTAGAATGACTTCAAGCCAGTGTGATCTTTTTTCATTAGTTTCCACAGTTTTTCATCTACGTACCTACCAACAGAAAGCTTTAGAGATTGATTTATTACCTGAATGGGAATCCATGTTGGAAGCCATAAGATGCATTAGCTGATATACCAATTAACTCAAACAACTGACCAAAGAAGCTGATACCCTCGCCACTTTTGCCTTTAATAATCTTTATGATTTGTGGAAGCTTTACTGAAATGCATAAAAAATTTGTCTAAGTTAAATAAATATAAATTAACCGGTAGATCCTAGAATAAACCAGTTATAAACCCTCCTGATGTTTGATGTGTATTCTCTCCTTCCCTTGATTTACTTGTTAAATATAAATTAAGTTTAAAATTTAGTAAACTAGGTCAATGAAAGGGCAATAATTTCTTCATTAAAACATGTGCTGTCTGAGGACCAGTGTGTTCACTTTAATCAGTGCATGATTATGGTATATAATTATAAAGGCTTAATTCTGCAAAACTTCTCAGCAAAATTACCAGCCCTTGATAGTAAACAAGTATTTCAAGTTTGAAGTGATTATCTGTGACAATCTTTTACTCCACTTTTCTCAATCCTGGAAAGCAAGATACACCATTCTTATAAAAAACAGTGACATGATGACCCTTTTATTAAATCAGCTCACCTGTAAATAAATACTCTTAATGACAAAAAGCAAGTTATATTGTAAATTATAAACAAAAGCAGATACAAAATCCAAATCTTAATTAAACTGATGTCATGAAGTATTTATTTGTATTATGTAAAATATTACTGGTTGATATGTATCCCATTCACACCCATGAAAGAATCAGTTATCTTGAAATGGTAGCTTGTTAATATCATTAACCCTTTCACTGCCATAGGGACGTCCCTGTTATTTTCGGCGTATTTGCCATATGGACGGCTTTAGCCGTTTCTATAATAATAATAGCAATAATAATCAATTAATAATAATAATTATTAATATAAAGAAAATTATACTATCGACAATAATTATTATTATACTCACAGATTTGGAAAGATATATAATTCTTATAATACTAATAACAAATAATGATAATTATATTAATTAATAATAATTTCTTAGAAAACCCTCTGGCAAATAGGTGATCAATAAAACAATAACCCTCTGGCAGCGAAAGGGTTAAAAAATACATATTGCTGACTGTCACTTATGAAGATAGTTAATGTTACCTAGAACTGATCCCAGGATGATGGAATATCCAAGACATTTGCTCAACACTATCTTGAAGCATTCAACTGAAAATACAAACATAGAAAGTCTTTTATTATCAATTTTCATTTTGATCTAGAAAATAACCTACCTGTAAATAGTTTCTTAAACGACTCCACTGGTGTTTCACTGACAGCAAAATTTTTAAATAACCAATTCATTATTTGTCTGTTTTTGAAATGTTAGAATAGATAGCAAGTAGACTCAAAAATGTTTCTGCTACAACGGTGAACCATGCTGAATATACATTAAATTTACTATGAGGTTTATAAATCCACATCCAATTGTTTTCTTTATTTATAAACATCTGACAAGACTTTAAAACATGAACAGAAACAGTTATGACTCTTGGACAGGGATGAATTAAAAAACTAAGCTTAACAATGTTTTCGGGTACTATGTGTATGTTTAAGAAATTAGCTCTGTGGAATTCATCTGCATAGCATTTCATAATGAATAAGTATGTTTTTGTTCTTTTTAATCATTAATTGAAATAAAATAAAACAATTTTTAAAACAAGAGCACTGCAAAGGTTGGGTAATATACGCCTGAATGTGAATTTGTTCAAGTTATCAAAAATAATACTTCAGTCAGGGAAGAAAAACTTGTCTGAAAAACAGTGTCTATTCTAGGAGGGGGGATGGGGGATTCACTCATATCTTTAAGAATTCCCCCCTATTTTTTCAGAGGCAGGGGGTAAATTTTACATACAGAAAGAAGGAAAAAGATTAAGAAATGTAATAAATTCTCAATTTTCGATAAAAATCCCCCGTTTTTTAAATCCTAGAATAGACACTGTGAAAAATGCTTTATCTTAATTTTCCTTATGATACTAATTGACCTCAAGGATGTGGGCATTTTTTACCCTGAGGTGCATGAGTCATATTCATAAAACTTTAACAGAGGTCTACTGAGAAATGCTATGCATTAAACATAGAAGCTCTAGGCACAGTTGTCATCCACACAAAAAGGGCACAGTAGTTATTCACGTAAAGGTAAGAGGTGACTCACTGTTTTTTCTAAAGCAAGTGACTCCCAGGGCAGAGCTAATTTTAATCATGATATAACATATGTAGAAAACTACAATTTTATTATGCATGTCACCCTGGAGGTCCTTTAGTATCATATGCATAATTAAGACAAAACAATTTTAGACAGGATCTTTTTCCATATTTGTCATACATGTATGGTTCCAAAACACAAAAGATGATTTTGATTAACCCAGGTGTTACAACTTCCATTAAGTTCCAAAATTTGGAAGTCGGAGACTACAAAATGTCTAACACTGGAAGTCACATTCTATGGGTAAAGAAGGAAAAGGGTATATTTTGGCAGTCACATGACAAGCCAAAAATCAGAAGTAAAAGACTCCCAAACTTCCACTTATGGAAGCCCTGATTACTTGAAAGCAACACCAGGGGTCAAAACCACCTCACCTGCTGGAGCTAAGAGATGCATAGACTCCAGTTATTCGAACCCATTTAGTTACCTCTTATGATCACACTGGGATTAACAGTGGCTGCAATTCATATAACTCAACCATTAACAGCAACCTCTCAGCAACAAGGGTCAAAAAGAAAGCAAATTTTTAAGAAAAATTCAAAACATCATATTCTGAAACAAAGTTTTTTTTTAAGTTTTAGTTTTAGTTGTCAATTATGTCACAATTTCCTTTCATTTTTGTTCATCTTGCCTATGGCGCCTGGGTATTATCACTGTGGATGATCAAGTGACCAAAAAGGTACAATGGGCTCATAAAAATGCGGCCTGAACGCTCGGTAAAAACAGTAAAATTGAAGTAAGCTTATGGTTAACGTTTAATTTATTTGTAAAACTAGGCTGCACAGAACCCCTGTATAAAAACCACATACTGTTCTGATATTTTGTAGCTCTCTCTGTTTAGGCCTGAAAGTCGAAAAACGAAATAGGACAGGCAGAAAATCGTTCAACCATTAAATGTACATGTCACAGTCAATGCGAAAGTCAAAATTTTTTTCCGGCCACAAGGACTGGGATCCTTAGATTTATTTCCGGCCCTGATGATTTTTTCCCGGCCCGGACTGTGAAAGGTATTTTTTTGTAGGGGTGGGGGAGGGATGTTGCCATAATTATAAACAAAAATATTTAGAAAATATGAATTATTAGACTTATCTATCAGATACTATGAAAAAAATATACAAAAACATAATACATGTATATAAAACTTTAGTTTAATTCACAAGAAAACGATACATCGTTCAAAGGTTGGAGACAAAATATGTTTTGGTAAGGAAATTGTCCAAGACAAGATGGTGGCTTACATTACTTAGCAAAAACCGGTTGTATCTTGCGGTGATTTTGGTTATCTGAATATGTGAATACAAGCAAAAATGAAAAAAAAAAAGATTGATCTTGGAAGTTTTGCATATTTCAGAAGGCCAAAAATTTTCAACTGGCTGAAATTTTATTCGGACATGAGGACCGACTGAATAGAAATTTATCTCGGCCCTCCTGATTTTTAGTTGGCGAGGTCCAAGGACCGACAGACTTTCGCACAGACTGATGTCATGACAGTCTCATCTGTCGGACCTGGATGATTTCTGACTTTCGGGCTTTACTACGGTAATTTAAGTGTAAATAAGGATCTGTTCATAGTCAGTTCTAATAGAAAAATATATATTGCATTGATTCCATGCGAAAATCTGTATTACCACTCGGTTGAAAATTTTGACACCCATTATTTTCGTACTCGGATGTTGCATACCTTGTCTATAATTAATAGAATCTAATAGATCTATAACATTGAAAAAAATTTTTTTTTTAGTATATTGATATTTTATTGCATAAATAACAAGGTAAAACACATTTTAGGTCAAATCAATGCCACTAGCACCTTTGTATATGATCAGATGTTGACCCCGGCCCTCCTTTGTTACTAGATCTAATAAGCGTCTACTAAATCAGTAAATGATCAGATGTTAAATTTTTTCAACGTCGGCATATTTTACAATTAATCAATTAGATTAAAGCAAGCTACAAACCATCAAAAAAGTTAAAATCTACAAATGTTTTCGTATAGCACGGCTCGGGTACAAATGTTTGAATCGCTCTAACTAACAGACCGGTCTCATTCATATTTGAAGGTGTCTCTCAAAAACAAGCGTTTGATGATTTCGAAGGGTCGAATGGGATGCGCTTAAACTGCTGACGAATTACGACGAATTAGCTTGAGATAAAGAATGCAAGGAAGGACGTGAAGGTGTCAATAACTGGAAAACAATTTTACTTTTAGTAACCACCTGGGAGTTTGGATTCTTTCATGTGAAGGACTGATGAAAGTCTACATTTATAAAAAAAAACTGGGACAGAAGTTATCTTCTGTCACAGATAAAAATAATGCGTGATTATTTTATATACCGGTATATACACCTGGAAATAAGTTAAAACTGGTTGTCACTGAAAGCACCGCCATTAGATGACGACTCAATTGAGCTAAGAAATAGTAATTTGATTAGTAGACATACAAATTTAGTAATCATAAACCAGTAAATTTATGAGTTTAGTTAATTCTTAAGCATAAGCAAATGTGTTGTTTTTTTTTTCAAAAATTTGTTTACAGATATTGTGTTGGAGCGTTTACAAAACATTTACTAGTGGATGATTTTGGTAAATGTTGACGATTACGTAACCTAAAATGACATTATGTAGCCAAATTTTTAATTACGTATGTAACCGCCACGTGCGTGGATGATAGCCTCAACACTTCTTCTCATAGGCCTACTACCAGTAAGGCTTCTAATGTGATTTTGAGGTAATTTTTACCATTCTTGGTGCAGAGCTTGTCCGGTTGTTGCAGGTTGACTACAGGTGGTTCGTACTATTGCCCAAATGACATTTTAAAATTTCAGTTGTGGTCAAAATTGAGATTGAGGAGAAGGGGCAATCGGAACATCCTCGGCTATTATCTATAATAAAGACTGACGTAAAGGGCCGAAAAGTTGCGATTGGAGAAGGGGCATTCGGAACTGCCTCGGCTATTATCTATAATAACCTTATCCGAAGACTGACGGAAAGGGCCGAGTAGTTGCGATTGGAGAAGGGGATCACTTTTCTGTAGGTTTCTGAGGGGGTCATTTTCTTCAGACAGCGCGCTAGCGACAAGATGAAAAGGCGGTAACGATATAGGTTGCCTGTACCAAATCAGCCAACATAGATGGTGTCGGCCTAGTAAATTTTCGTATTCTTTGTTCTATAGTAAATCAGTCACATTTGAGGCTTAATTTTCGATTCCACTGTTCTTGATGAATTATATACTGTCTTCAACTTTATACATCAACACTATCTAAGTTAAATGAGACCCAAAATATAATATGTTAGCCATCTAATTTTTTCAGAAATCTTCATTCTGTTGTAACACTGTTTAAATTCGCCACTTTGAAAACTCCGGACTGCTGGTGGGAAGTACATTTTTAATCCTTCCGCCAACAAATGAGTTCCTGGAGAATACACAAAAAACAACTTTTTAAGTCATCATATAACACGCAAAAATACACACATGCAATAAATACAATTTAATTATGACCAATCAAACTAGAGAGAATTTAACTTAAACTGGGCCACTTCAAAAATTTAAAGAACTTTACTTTTTACGGGTTGGGTCTAATTCCGTACCGGGGTGAGATCTAAATATCATACGTTTTGACAACGTACTACATTTAAACCTTTTATTCCACTGAATCAAACAATTTGACACTTATTATATTTAGATAGTCTACATTTTATTTACATTTTAGATAAATGATATCATTTTTCATGTAAGTCAATGATCAAATTTATGGTTTCCCATTTATATAATAATTATTGACAGCTTTCCAATAATTGGACGGGTATTTAGTAAGATGTTTACTTTATTTACTTCACTATAATAAAGCCAGCCAAATAAGCGGTGTTAATATCGAGGAATAATATAAATTGGTAAGCTTTTTTAAATTCCAGCTAATGAATTGAAATTTGTGCCGTTTGTACAGTGAAAATATTGAAACAAAATAAATTATACCGTGCTATTAAATGAAAATTATCACTTTCTTCATGAAAAGATGAAAATCCCTATCCAAGTGGGATTCGAGCTCGAAAATATTGGCCCACAATCAAGTAAACACATCATTCTAGAAGACTAAGCCACATAATTAATTTCGATGCATGTATTGTACAATTAACGAGAATACATCAGCCTAGTAGTATAATGCTATCGAGTAAGGACCAAAACATGTCACCGTCAAGCCCTAAAAGATTTAACTTTAATTTGATGGCGAGAATTTATCTCTATGCCATTGCTATGGATTATTAGCATTTTGAGCGTAAAAGTAAGCCAATTATCCTGAATTTGTATGAGTATTCATGCTGCAAAGTGTTTCGTTTGTGCCATCGTTTTGTGGCATGTTCGACGTCTCACACAAAACGTCGAAGCAAGAAAACGACATGCCAAAGAGAGTATGCAAAATACAGTGGTCTCGAGCTATAGCGTCATCTTATCATCTTGTCACTTCATCTTATCTTGATGTCATCGCTTTATCATGTCGTCTCTTTAGAAAAATGTAGTGGCGGCGTTCCCTTCCCAAAACTTTAACGTAGTTCATATCTATTTAAGTTCTATGTGTATTGTCTTCATACCTGGCCACAATAAGCCTGTGACTTAAGCAAAGTGACCTAATTTCGTGTTATCTTCTGTACAGATTTGAAATTTGGACCATTTCACAGTTCCAGAAGTAAAATTAAACTCTGATATCACGCCCATTCTCAATAAAATAAAGCATTTGAGGTTGAAAAATATTAAAAATTTGATGTTATCATTGTGTCATTTTTTATCGCTGAAGTAAAAGTTTAGGGTATTTTGCAAGTTTGCCAGAAATATTTTGAACAAGAAACTATGATATAACAGGATGGCATTTATTTCGGTAATGACACTGTATTTCTTCGGTAACGTAGATTTAAGATCTAATAATGTAACATATTGGCTGCATATTAATAACAAATATCTGTAAAATATATCAAAATCTGTAAATTCTCTATCTAGAGGGACTTTCTAACCCAGGAAAATTCAAAGAAGTTGGGTACCTTGCTGATTTTCAGTCAATTTCTTCAAAGTTAAATATTCGTAGAAAGCAAAAATAGTCAATTTTGGAAATGATTATTTTATGTCTTCATTCAAAGGATATATATCATATATAATATATGAGAGGTCGAATGCATACACAAATTTTGTATTAGCATTTTTTTTCAAAACATTCAACTTTCCACTTTCTAAATATTTGGAAAATTTAGTACTAAGCAGTTCGATATTTATCCCCATATAGGATGTCACGTATGTTTCATTTTATTCAAATGCAAGTAAAGGTTGAGAAAACAATTTTATTTTTTGTAAAATAATTTATATTTACGGATATTATATTAACATTATTATATATAGAATGAAATACGGCCAGTAAGCTCTTTGCAGAAACGAATTAGTTGTTGCTGAGAACATCAATATCTTGTAATATATTTTTAACATTTTCTGCTGGTACATCAACATATTATTAACATATCATTTCCTTTGTAAAAACAATTTTGTGTCTTCTTACATCTTATACAAGGTAACCGTTACTAACAGGCATGCTAATCCCAACTTTATCTTTAATTTTCAAAAATTGTTGAATTGTAAGTTGGAGTAACGTATGTTTCACACTCGCTCATTTATGAACTTTATCACGGGAATTTAAACTTACATGTAAAATCGACTTTTTTATTTAGGAATCAAATGCACATCATTCTATTGTCATAAAAATGCGATTTTATGTTTTTATATATGCATGTGTAAACAATATAAAGTCTGTTTGATAAAAGTAACGTTTGTTTCACTGTGGTTACTTAAACAAGTAAAAACACGACCAAAGTTAACAAAATTTACTTACAAATGTCAAATAAAAGTTAATGCTGATGTAATATGTGCTTTCTGACTTCAATTTCCCATTTGATAAACTTACTTTAAAAAGTTGATAACGTATGTTTCTGTAACGTATGTTTCATTTTTACATTGAAAGTGGGTTAAAAATGACGCAAGACCGTTTAAGCCGCCATAATTTGTGGTTAATATATCAGAGTTACACACATATTAATTTTCTTTCTTGTTTGGATTCTTCTTTGAATGGATTAGCTCTTAAATAATGGTAACGTATGTTTCTTTTAAAAGTGCTGTTGAAAAGATTTGAATAAAAAATGAAAGTTTCCGAAAATAGAATGATATTTGAGAGGCTGCAAGCTTATTTTTACTTATAATTATATATATGTTGTATTATTAAGCATGCATCGATTCAATTATGTAATTTGGGTTTCACTTCTTATTGTTTTAGGTTTGTCACTATTTATTTATATGCATTTGGCGACATTTGATCATCCATTATACCAATGAGATTTTAACAGTCAAATATAATGTTTACCAATAATCAAAGTGCATATACACACAGCAATGACTAATTGCACATGTTTCGTTTATTCTGGAACTTATTTTTCTGAAACACAATTTCAAAGTTGAAAATTCTAGGTGGCGACAGTAACGTATGTTACATTTTAGGGCATTAATGGTACTTGTAAAAGAAAAATAACAGATAGAAATGTAAAACTGAGAGTGTCCCTATTAGACAAAGTGGCAGCCACCTTTCTAACGACATTTTGACCTCAAGAAAAACCTTCGTATAAGAGCTACCCAGTGGAACATCAAATGCTGTGTTTTATTGAGAATGAGCGATCAGCTGACCTAGATAATAAGACGAAGTGACCTACTTTCTTGTCTTTTGATGTACAGCTATGAAATTTGGACTATGTGCACAGTTTAGATGTAAAATTGAACTTTGATGTCAGCTGACCTTAATAATTTTACGAAGTGACTAACTTTATTGTCCTTTGATGTGCAGCAATGAAATTTGAACCATGCGCACAGTTTTAGATGTAAATTAAATTTTAATATCAGGTGACAAACATTGTCATGAACTGATCATCGGTCTACTATCTTGTTCTTTGATGTACAGCTGTGAAATTTGGTAACATGTAAAATCAGCTGACCTAGATTTTGATGAAGTGACCTACTTTCTTGTCTTTTGATAATTTGGACCATGTGCACAGTTTAGGATGTATATGTCACGGTTCAGAACTGTTCACTAT